AACAATATGACACCCCCAGTTACAGATATTAACAATATTGATCCTAACACTAATCCAGAACTTGATGTTATTAAGAAACATCACGGAGAAATTATCCATGAGCCCAATGGCTTTGTTAACAAGATCTATAGAAAAGATAGCCAACTTAACAGGCGTACTGTCAATACTTACATTGATATGTGGAAGGAGGATAAAAAAGATTTATCTAATAAAGTGGAAACTGTTTCAAAAAGACGTGATAATGCACAAACTATGACAAACGCGTTTTATGACATTGTAACTGATTTTTATGAATATGGCAAGTACCAAAAGCACTATTAATATGATGACGCGTGTCATGGCCCATTTTTATTTATTATTATATTCAATTATTATATAATTCATATTCAATTTATTTATTTTGTAATTCTGTTCTTTCCAAATATTAAACAAAACCCATTATGCTAAAAGGTCACAATTCCTAATATTTTATTTCTTTTTAAAAAAGTAAATAGTCTCTTGAGAATAAAGAACTTATTATGGATAAAATAACAAGTCTATTGTTTTCAAGTAAAAACAACTATTCCCGACAATAAATTTTTAAATATTATTGGGGAAAAGTTCAAGCCTCTTAAAAATAGATAAAAATCTGATCAATGTAATATTTATTATGTCACGTATATAATTATAATTATCTATTATTATTTATAAAGGATTAGTTAAGAATAGAATGATATGTTTTGTGTATTTTGTAACTTCGTTATTGTTGTTCGCCTTCATCTGGGAGAAGGAGGATAATAGTTATTTTTATTTATTTTGTGGATTTCCTTCACGATATAATTTTCGTAATTTCATTTTACGATTTAATGTACACATAATTTATATATTTTGGCATGTTATCATACAAAAATTATTGAACCAAAAAAAAACCAGATACAAACACAGTTTAGATTTTATTTATTTAATAAATAATTACTAAATATATAACTAATTTAAAATTCTTTTTTCCTTAAATTATATTAAATACTAGATTACTAACTATTAGTTTTTTTCTTCCGATGTAATTAAGCCTTTATTTACCAATAATTCTTCTGATTCACCTGACCGATGCATGCATATTCAACACGATGTCACGGGTGTTAAATATTTGAACTACAGCCCGCACTATATATATCCATCCGCTGATCACGCGTGTAACCCCTTGAACCATTCCAATTGGTCTAAACGTGGCACAGTTAGGATTTTCTCGATGTCACAATATTTTTAAAAAAATTCTCAAGCGTTATCATGAAATATTTATTTGAGAAATTCATTTATAAAATAACATGGATCAAAGGAAAGTAAAAAAAACAAATACCAGTCATCTCCGTCTATTCATCTGTTTTTTTTTCCCTAAAAAATCAACTTTTATTTATAAATCATTTTCTGAAGAATCCCGTAAACAGTCATAATCTTATTTTACATTATTAGAATGATTTCTATTTTTATCACTTCAAATTTGAAATATTATGAGACAAAAAAGAGACAATATGAAAATTTTTTGGTGTAACAATTTGAAAAATTATTTAGTTTACGACGACCAATAATATTTAAAAGACACCGAGTACATATAAAATTCTTTATTATTATAGATTAAGAAATATCCGAATCAATTAAAATAAAAATCTAATTAAGAGGTCCATCACGCGTTTGTGTTTTTCTCGTCATTCATCAATTTCTTTTTTAAATGGTTTATTTTTAAGTCAATGAAACTAATCTTTATTACGTTCCATAATTCCTTAAATTTTGTTAATCAACGTTTTCAAGCTTTTTTATTATCCAATATAAGAAGCCTATTGACTCATTATTTGGGGGCGGTGTTTGTGCGTTAATTGAAATCGTAAAATTGATCATTCTAAAACTTGTTCAATAAAGCATATTAAAAGAAATTTTTACATTACAAAATATAAAAAAACAGAAATTTTTCCATTTAATGAAAGTTTTCTGGTTCCTTCATTTATGATTATTGAAATTTCTAAAAATATCGTCGAAGAACGCCAATAACAATAACATTGGAAATTATGAATCAATAATCAACGCGTTGTTAGAATTAAAATAACAAACAATCTTGATTATCACAGTGTAACCTATTTATGCAATTATTCATTTTAACTATATAATACTTATTTATTGGGATGTTTGATATACAGTGTGTAACGAAAATAATGGTAGTTGTTTATCATGATTCGCATATATTTACCAGCCTTCTTATCTCTCATTGAAGATATTTATAAAATAAAAGGCTTCATCTACTTTCTATAGTGCAAGTCACTTAATCCCGCAACTTTTTATTAGTCGTGTAGATCCTTCAAATCCTCCAAGAATGGAAAGCAACACCCAAAATAAATCGTGTTTTTGAAGCCAAGACCTTCCTCTACAAAATTACGATTTTATCTCATCGATATGTCATGTTGTTGTGGAGGATTTGAGCTTCAAAAGCTGCACAAATTTACCGAATTTATTATGTTTAGCCCTAAAAATTGACGTGTTGCACACAAAAGTTAATATTAATATCGAAACAAAAGTTTCAGATTTTTTGTCACATGAATTTTACAGATGAATGGAAAGAGAATTTATTCTTTATGTATATAAAAAAATACAACAAGCAGTTAAATTCATTTATTTAAATTTAATAAATAAATAGACTATTGCATTGACCAAAGAAAAGCGCAAAACATATGCTCCACCTAGCACCAAAAATATATTTCATGGAAATACATTTCATTTCTATTGTTAATGTCATTTTTAAATTTTAGCTAGTAACAAATGGTATATATATATCTCAATATATTATTATTGCCAATTTTACTATTTATGAAATGACCAGGAAATATGACCAAACAATTTTTATTGCATTTTTGATTCTCAAAATTGGCGGTGTGGCACAGAAAGTTGTGGGACTAGGTGACTTGCACCATATCTCTAGCATCTTATAATGGGGTGTGTGATGATTATACATGAAATCGAAATGTTTCGACTTGAGGCAACTACATAGTAAAAATCAGTTTCGACTTCATGTACACTCCCCTACAAAAAATATCCGACCACTTGTGCTGTGTAACGTCAAATGAAAAAAGTACTTGCTAAATAAAGTACGTTTTCTTAAATAAAACCTTTTCTGCTATACTAAGTAAACTCATATTTGATATCAAAACTCTATATTACGAAAATTTCAAACAGTTCGGTATGGTATTAATGGAAATATTTAACAAATCATCCAAAAAAGAAAATTTCCGATTGAATTTTTACATGTAATAAAAGGTCAAATTTTTTTGTTGTAATGTATATTATTACCTTAATAAAACGTGTTTAACGTAACAGATTACATATATTTACAATACGGTGTCAGCATAAATTAGTTTATGAAAAGGGTTTAAAAAAGTATCCGACCACCCCGTAATTTTATCATATAAAACACTTAATAAAGTTGACAAAATGCAAATTTTAAGGCTTTACGTTTCGTTGTCTATACTTGATCAAATTTTCTCAAATTTTAACCATTTATAATTCAAGGTATTTTAAGTGGACTTACTTAATGACATAATTCATGATTCAACAGAGTTTTGAACCTTTTTACTAAGCTCAAAGTTTTCATAAAAACCACGAAATTTTTTGCCTAATTTAAAATTTTCATCCTAAATTTATTAATAATGCAAACTCGACGAAACTTTAAGTTTATATTCAAATTGACTTTAAAAACATGTTTACTTAATGCACCAGTCCCGGTTTGATTAATAAAATTTTGAACTGCGTGAGGTATAGGTTTCCCAATTATTAAAATGATCGTCAGATGGTCGGATATTTATAGTAGGTGAGTGTATAGTAGGTATCTATTGTGGTTGTCAAGAAAATAAACAAAACCTACAGATCAACAGATAGAGCAGGGTTAAGTCATCTCATAAAGAATATGTCACAACTTACTAGTCACAAGACATTGTCACTTTCAGGGGGGTCAAGTGTTGCTCATATATAAAATTTAGTGATTGATGTTGGGATTCTATATGAAAAAAATGAAAAATTTACTTCAAACATTCAATTTATACATTTTTGTGCAGTTATCCCACCAAAATTTAAAAATAGATTTATGATATATCCATACTTTTGGAAAATTTTTTGGGGAAGTTATTAATAAACATCGACAATAATCTTAGCCTAAAGTTTTATTATCAAATTACTAAATTTGGAACTTACTTTTCTATTTTGGATAATAAGTGACTAAAATTTATCTAAACTTCAATAACACACACCCACATAAAGTACTACTTGTATGGAAGCTTATATTTTTAAAGTAAAATTGAAAACAATAATCTTGTATTGAAGTAAAAATTTAATACTGTTTTTGAATAGTTGTATGTAGCATTACTTAGAGAACACTTTTCAACATAAAAATATTAATAATGAGAACAATTTATTCCAAGATCACTATATTAAGTTTTTTTTCTGATTTCAGGTAACAGTGCCAAGAATTTATAAAGATGCTTGGGGCATAGAAAAAGAAAAGGTCTGCAAATTGCAGTAATTTTAATTCCGAAATTTATTAATCATGTAATTGACCTTGACTACAAGTGAAAAATAACCAAGTATTTTTTATTCCAATGACAATCAGAAGAACAGGAGCAAAATATAACTATAATTTGATTTTATATTGGGTGAATGTGTAAGTAATTATATACTAAAATTTTGAGGTCCTGTAAACATTGCTAGCTCTTTTAATAAGATTAATTATTTAGAATACTAAGATACAAGGCAAATGCTTGGAAGATAGTCCGAGTGTATATACTGAAGTAGTTAACATTTTACAAAATCTTGATTTGCGAATAATTAAACCAGAAATTCCTATAACATCAGGAATAATCGATCTTATAGAGAGCAAAGATCCATTTGCAAACCTATTATCTTTAGGGACAAAACAAATTTTAACAAAACATTCATTTCATATAATGAATTTTCCAATAAAATTGGAGCAATGTTAGATGAATTCATAAATTCACATAACAATTTAAGAACTGATTTTGATCCAGCATTAATGCAACCTATAAGTTTTCCTCAAGGAGAGATGATGTTGAAACTAGGCACATTCTACTTGGCAACTTTTGATTTATTAGAAGATTGTAGGTTATTAGTGAAACTGCAAGTATTTTCATATCATTAACAATTTTTAACCCTTGTCGTATTTGGGGTTGTAGGCCATTGCTAACAAGAAATGATTATAGTGAGAATTCAAAGTTCTGGATCCACTCTTTACATATTCTAAATGGCCTCTGAAATGATGATCTGAACAAATAAGTAAATCTTTACAGGGTAGAAAAAAATCCACTAATTTAGAGAAGAGATAAGGATGAGATCAATCTCCTATCAATGATGAGGGTCAAAACCCCATCAATATCATTCATTGATGTCAATAACATATTCTCCACCAAAAAGTTATTAAGTACTTCAGAAAAAAAAATGCACCAATTAATTGATATACATATTAAGAATGAGTGAAGAACCAAATTATTCACCTCTCTAATATCTACATAATTAAATACCACATTTACATCTCAAGTATTCCTATCTTCATCTCCATGATATGCACATATTTCTCCCAATTTTGAAGCTATAAATATTGCTGGGGATTATCAATGAATTTGCGTTGAGTTTTTCACCTATTGTTCTTAGATTTGCAAGAAATCTGTATAGTGCTGAGTTTCCAACTCATCTGAGATGGGCATATCTAAATTGGTATGGTGCTAAAGTCATCAATGCTGCGCCATTTGCTGAAAATTTTAATGGGATCTTTCCTGATTAAGAAATCATTCGGATATGGTGCTTCGTATCTAATGACATCCAGATAAAATATTTAACTTTTATCCGAAGTATCATTGTGAATTAAATTATATAGAAAGTTTTTGGGAAGTAACTAAAGAATACACTAGAAAAAATTGTAATTATTTATTTAAAGAATTAGAGAGAACTGTTCCTCTGGAATTGAACTCAATTTCACTTTGTAAAATTGGGAGTGCTTATAGACTTTCAGGAAATGCTGTGATATTTGCAGCAAAAAAAATATAAATCTCATAGAAAATTGCCAGAATTTGTGTTAATGGATGTATATATATTATCATTGAGTTCGAACGATTAAGAAAAAATTGTTAAATGCATCACGTGATAAAAGTTGATCTAAGTTTTCTGACTGATCAAATTAGTTTGCTAGGTGTGCCGAATTTTTTAATTAATTTTAAACCCCCATAACTTTTTATTTTACTAATTAACTTTAAAAAATTTCTCTATTACATTGTTGCTTATGTTCCAAAGATTACAAAAATAGAGTTTTTTTTATGGGCCAACAAATATTTCCAAAGTTATCAGGGTTTTAAAGATTTGCAATTTTTTAGATACGGCACACCATATTGGATTCACTCATCTCTGAAGAATCAGGGGAAATATATTTTGGCAGATTGTTATATTTTATTCTGGGTTTATTGGCTAACTTGAAATATTCATCTAATACCAGGATATCTTCACTATACATGCTATGGTAATTATTTTGCCAAAAACGTAATACGTAATACGTAATACGTAATTACGAAATTAATCACGAAATTAATTACGGGTGACGAAATTAATTACGGGCGACGAAATCAATTACGCGTGACGAAATCAATTACGGGTGACGAAATCAATTACGCGTGACGAAATCAATTACGAATGACGAAATTAAATGACACGTATTATTTATCTCGTTATACTAGTAAAATGACATAATTTGACAACTTTTTTTAGAAATATAGAATTTATTCTGTTATAATAACATGTCAGTATAATGGAGAACCAATCAAAATCATTCTCATTTCTGAAAAAACATAATAATAAGGAAATAAAACTTATGCCGGGATCAAGATTGACTGGCACCATGGAAAATTCTGATAACACTTCTGTATAATGCTGGTCAATTTTGACCCAGCGTAAGTTTTAAATTTCCTGATAAATCATGAATGAAATAAAAATAAAATATATATATTAATATGTATAATAAAAATAAAATTACGAAATCACGTGATAATGATTCTCATATGACTTCTATATGAACTCCCGTTATAATGACATTCTCGTCATACTGACATTTTTTGTTTGTACGGAGAGTGTTGTTATAATGGGAGTGACTTGCATTATGATATTTCCAATAATTAATTCGTTGTTATTCATAATTATTTCGTCACCCGTAATTGATTTCGTCACCCGTAATTAGTTTCGTCACCCGTAATTAGTTTCGTCACCCGTAATTAGTTTCGTCACCCGTAATTAATTACGTAATTACGTTTTTAAAGAGTGAAAGTGGTAATTATTACGTTAATTACGAATTACGTATTTACGGTAATTAGCTAATTACCATATCATGTATAATAACGGACTGAAATTTTATAAATTATTATATAGAGAAAAAATTAGATTAATTTGATAATATTATAAAATAATTTTCATTATCCAACTTTAGTATTCAGGTCTTTGATTTGATCTTCTGAAATGATTGTTGGTATTTATATATAATTTTTTTTAAGTTCCATAACAATAATATCAAACAAAGGCTTTTTAATGAATTTGATTGGGAAGACAGATTCTAGAACATGTTTTATTTAATTAACAAATCATCCTGAAAATTACAACAATAATGAAGATGAAAATTAGCTGAATTCAATTTATATGAACGGCCAATAAAATTAAAACCACGAACTATTGTTATTACACTTTTTTAGTACAAATTGCATAAGGTCTTATATTTTCTTCGCTCGTAATCCAATAGTCACCAACCAAGGTTACGCTTCTGGGAATTATTATCAGATTTGTGGGATTAACTCTATTCTGAATCATACATTTGTACTTTTCACCATTATGATTAAAAATCGTCGCGTAAGCTTCAGCAACACTAATTTCAGGTGAAGAATAAATCCCCTCTCCATACAAAAATCTTTCCCCCTTATTTAATAAATAACCATCTTTAGCGATTGGATTGACATTTACTTTCTCGGTACCATGATAAGAAACTGACCAAGCGCTTCGATCACTTCCCAACCAAATATTATTGTCGTATTTATTCTCTGCTTTAAACGCCACACGATTCCAACCACATGGTCTTTTATATTCATATAGTTGGCTCGGTCTAAAGACCTCCTAAGTTTTGCATAAATTTTAAAAGTATAGAAGTCACTTTCTGTCCTATC